GGCGGCGCTTCCCGGCCCTTCCCGGGGGTCCCCGGCTCCGGCGGCGCTTCCTGGCCCTTCCCGGGGATCCCCGGCTCCGGCGGCGCTTCCCGGCCCTTCCCGGGGGTCCCCGGCTCCGGCGGCGCTTCCCGGCCCTTCCCGGGGATCCCCGGTTCTGGTGGCGCTTCCCGGCTCCGGCGGCGCTTCCCGGCCCTTCCCGGGCGTCCCCGGCTCTGGCAGCGCTTCCCGGCCTTTCCCGGGGGTCCCCAGCCCCGGTGGCGCTTCCCGGCCCTTCCCAGGGTCCCCAGCTCTGGCGGTGCTTCTCAGCCCTTCCCGGGGATCCCTGGTGGCGCTTCCCAGCCCTTCCCGGGCGTCCCCAGCTCCGGTGGCGCTTCCCGGCTCCAGCGGCGCTTCCCGGCCCTTCCCAGGGGTCCCCGGCCCCAGCGGCTCTTCCTGGCCTTTCCCGGGGGTCCCCGGCTCCCGCGATGCTTCCCAGCTCCGACAACGCTTCCTGGCCCAGGCAGCACTTCCCGGCCCTTCCGGGGGGTCCCTGGCTCCAGCAGCGCTTCCCGGCTCCGATGGCGCTTCCCCGCTCCGGGTGGCGAAGCTCTTTCCTCCCGCAGGCCTACAACGCGAAAACCAAGAGCTTTGAGGACCCTCCGAACCACGCGCGGAGCTCCGGCCACAAAGGGAAGGGCAAAGGGAAAGGGAAAGGTAACSGCGGCCGGCCGGGCTGCTCCGGAGCGGGGCGCAGACCCCGCGCACAGGTCTGGGGGCTTCTGCTGGCTTTATTTCCAAGGGAAACCCCAGCRCGGGGCCGCAGCGCTCCCCAAGAATCCCTGGGTTTTTGCCCTCGGGTATCTTGGAGCCTTTTCCCGCTTTTCCGCTTCMTGGTGCGGGGCTTCATTCCAACATGGGGAGCCGTCCCGAGGGTGGCTGGGTGGGACGGGATCACGCTGGGAAAAGCACGGAGCTTCCCGATGGAAGCGCTGCGGCAGGTAGTGCCGGGAAAGGCGCTTGGAGMGCGCCGTGTTTTGGGAGGAAGGCGCGCGCTCGGCGCCCAGGGGAGGCCGTGACTTTATTCCCGGTGTTCCCGGATCCCGCTCGCAGGCAAGGGCAAAGGGAAGGCGGCGGCGAGCGGCGAGCAGGGCGAGCCGGAGGCGCCCGAGCCGCGGCCGCCCAAGCTGCGCACGCTGGACGTCTTCTCCGGCTGCGGCGGCCTCTCCGAGGGCTTCCACCAGGCGGGTGAGCGGCACGGCGCCGGGATGGGGAGGGACGCGGCATTCCCGCCGCCCGGAGCGCCGCGCGAGCCGCTCGCCCCGCAGGCGTCTCGGAAACGCTGTGGGCCATCGAGATGTGGGAGCCGGCGGCGCAGGCGTTCCGCCTCAACAACCCCGGCAGCACCGTGTTCACCGAGGACTGCAACGTGCTCCTCAAGCTCGTCATGTCCGGCGAGAAGACCAACTCGCTGGGCCAGAAGCTGCCGCAGAAGGGCGACGTGGAGATGCTCTGCGGCGGCCCGCCGTGCCAGGGCTTCAGCGGCATGAACCGCTTCAACTCGCGCACCTACTCCAAGTTCAAGAACTCCCTGGTGGTCTCGTTCCTCAGGTGGGGCGCCGGCGCCGCTCCGGATGGGCGCTCCGTGCTCCGGGTCCCCCCTGTCCCCCGCCGGGCGCTCCGGGTCCCCCCTGTCCTTCCAATGGGCGCTCCATGTCTCCCCTGTCCCCAATGGGCGCTCCGTGTCCCCCCTGTCCTTCCAATGGGCGCTCCACGTCTCCCCTGTCCCCGATGGACACTCCGTGTCCCCCCTTTCCCCCGATGGGCGCTCCGTGCTCCAGGTCCCCCCTGTCCCCCGCCGGGCGCTCCGTGTCCCCCCTGTCCTTCCAATGGGCGCTCCATGTCTCCCCTGTCCCCAATGGGTGCTCCGTGTCTCCCTTGTCCCCCTGATGGGTGCTCCGTGTCCCCCCTTGTCCCCTCTGACCCCCGATGGGTGCTCCGTGTCCCTCCTGTCCCCCAATGGGCGCTCCGTGCTCCGTGTCCCTCGATGGGTGCTCCATGCTCCGTGTCCCCCCTGTCCCCCAAGGGGCGCTCCGTGCTCCATGTCCCCCCTGTCCCCTGATGGGTGCTCTGTGCCCCCCGTCCCTCTAGTGGGTGCTCTGTGCCCCCCTGTCCCTCGATGGGTGCTCCGTGTCTCCCCTGTCCCCCCAATGGGTGCTCCATGTCCCCCCCGTCCCCCACTAGGTGCTCTGTGTTCCATGTCTCCCCTGTCCCCACAATGGGTGCTCCGTGCTCTGT